AAAATGGCAAATGGCAAATATAGTCTATACTACTATGTTTCTTATGCATATAATTAATACATAGGACAATAACAAAAAAAAATCATATTATTAAATAATAAATTCAACATAGATATATAATTTTAATTAGTATTTCACCTGGGACAGTAACTCTATATGACCAGCATCCTCATCCTTGTATTCCTCAAAACTTCCAGTTAAAAGACCAGCAGGGCCTGGGAACTTCCTTTTACATTGAGAATCAAAATGTGAATTAATAATTTTTCTTTTAGTGTGTTTGGGTGATATGTTACAGTTTTTTAAATTGGAATCTTCAACATGTTTATCTATTTCATGATTATTAGCCTCCCCAAGTTTATCACGAGGAAAATTAGCTTTAAAGCCTTTGCAAACTTTTGCTGGGCTTTTTTGTGTTTTACATAATATATTCTCTTTAATACTATCTGTGCTAGTAGATATTTTACTACAAACTTCTGGTAAATCTAGCTGAGACAAAACCTGTAAATGTGAGCAATGTTATCAAAAATATAATTACCAGAAATATGATTATTGATTATTCGGTAGCCTACAAGTGGTTTAATGACCTGGTCAAAATCGTCAGATTCAAACATAGTATTGAAGAAATAAACGGTAATTCTAAAATAATGATAGTAGGTTTAGCTTGCAAACAAACAGCTTATGAAAATGGGTTAAATACTTGAGTCGCCATTAATTATAAAAAGTAGTTAAAGGGGAGAAATATGTCTCGACGTATTTTTTAGATCTATCTTTAGTTTATGTGCTAAAGTTAGGTAGTTTACAATTTATTTTTCACGTTTGCTTTTTTGTTGTCACTTGTCAAAGCAATACAGTAATCTATGTTGTCAAAAGCTTATACCTCATAAGTCATAACCACCCAAAGACTACAATCCCCTTTATACAAAGGTACTCTGTGGAGTATATATGTTCTGTGACTACAATGTTATGGCTCCAGTACACGTTGGCCGAGTGCGCTCGCCGAGTGCGCTCGGCCAACGTGTACTGGGCCGTTTTGTATATATTTGGCGTTTGCGGCCAACGCTCGCCGACGAGCCGTATAGTGTCGGTTTTCCGTGCACAAATCAAAGGAATTTGGCGCAAGCCGCAAACAGCGTTCACACGTTGGCCGAGTGTTCAGTTCATAGTTACGCGTCGGAGTAGACTGTAGTGTCGGCTTGTTAAATAAATAAATAAATAAATATGAGGAAATATTTATTTATTTATGTAACACTTTATGTACACACATAATTCGATAGGAAAATGGTAAAAACATAATTATGTACAAAGGCACTGCCTATTCCATGATGAAATTTCTTCCAGCAGGCCTATTGAAGGATGGTTGAAGGAAATAGAGGTAGTCAGTGTGTACTTACATAAATATGCATATACAATACAAATATATACAAAGACACACACACACACACACACACACACACACACACACACACACACACACACACATATATATATATATATATATATATATATATATATATATATATATATATATATATATAAATGTATATATATAAATAAATATTATATATTATGAAATAATATATAATTCAATATAATATATTTTTAATGTTACATGCATACCAACACATTACGATTTAATAATTATGGAGTGAAATGTTGATTCATTGTTCATTGATTGATTCTCACAATAAATCAGTTATATGGAACCCCAAACATGAGCAACATAAAAATAAAACCAGAGTAAGTAACTTGCCTAACTGCATTAAATAATACATGTTTAGTTGCGATTTCAGAGTATCTACCTAATGATAAATATTATTATAAATTATCTCTGCGTTTATGTTGCTCAGGGATAATGTAGCTTAGGGGCTTCTTTTGGGCTATCATTTATTTTGAAAAAACGAAGGTTTCTTTTTTCTTTTGAGGTCGGAACCCTAAAAAGGACAAACTGGGATTATTGTTGTATGTGTAGTTTTTTTTTCGTTCACTCTGAGAAGAGTGAAGCGCTGTATAAGTATATGACAGCGGCCGCGATTGCCCTAACGTCCATCATCATCTAGCTACCAACGCAGAATGAAACACGCCAACGTGTGAACGGCACCACGAAAATCTGCCGAGTGCGCTCGCCAAGCGCGCTCGGCCAACGTGTACTGGAGCCATTATATAGGTAAAACCACCTTTGAGCATCTCTATGGGACAATCTATAGGAGATGCCTATTTTCAGATGTAGTCTTTTGATAGGCTGTAATGAACGAATGAATGATGAAATATCTGAGGGGAAAACGGGTAAACTGAAAATAAAATTACATAACAATACTTATTTAGTTTTTTTTAAATTTTAGTTTATCCCACATGCCTCCTCTAAAGTAAATTCAAGTAATTTTGGTGCAACCTCTCAAATGTATGGGAAATTACCCAATAGGTTTGCGAGGCTTGAACCAAAATTACTCGAATTTGCTGTAAATAAACAAAAAGTTTAAAAGTTACACAGTACATAGGTTTGATATTCTCGCGAAAAGAGTTACATATGGGCGCCCATTGTGGCGCTAGTAGTGTATACTACTCACTCGTGTTGCATTTTTTTTAGTTTGAAGATAGCATTCTTCTCTCGGTAGAAAGTAATTGTGATCTGTAGTGTGTAAGGTATGTATATCCGAAGGTGAGACTTTCAAGATTCTATGCTCGAAGGGTGAGACTACTATAGCTATCTTATTTTTGAGTTTTGAAAACCTTTTTAGCATTCAGAGCAATTAATTCATATTTAAGACACCATAATCTAGGAGTATCAAAAGGTTGGCCTTGAAAATTATTTTGTGAAACAAAGTAATGTTTAAAGCAAGCTTTCTAACAATGTCTATTTCTGAAGAATTTGTAAGTGGCAAATGAGATAGATTACATAGTCATCATTATTAACCATTGCTGAAAATAAGCCTTCCCCATAGATTGCCTCATAGGAATTTGCCATGGTTGCCACGCTTGGCAGACGAGTTTGAAACCACAACTTTTTTAAAATTTTAAGTTGTTAACAGTAAGTCGCTGTTTAGTTTCCTTCTGTCGCCTCTTATGAAAATCACGTGTATGATATGGGACAGTGGATATTCTTACACCTCCGCGCACGCTCTACAGTAAGGGATATTAGGTACAGGAATCCTGTAACAGGATATGTTTACATAACTGTATTGGTCTAGAACATAGCCAAACGTTACAACTATAAAGTTCTAACAAAATGAACACTTCCGTGCATCCAAGGTTTTTTTACAGGATGAAGGTGACAAACGAGCACACAGTCCACCAAATGGTTGCTGTGGCCCATAAACATTTACATCTATCTTCGATTACGATTCAAAATGCAGATGCGTTGTCACCTGTGAGGACTAAGATGGAATGCCTCGTTTCCAGTAAAAAGGGTCTCCGGTTCTCTACACTCACCATACAAAACACAGCAGCGTTAAGCTGCTATTTTACGCTAGTATTCTGTGAGAGCGTGGTCCTTCCCCGGTCGAGCCGACCCATTCGTGCTACAACCATAACATAGCTGCAGCGTGGCTCTACCACGTAAAAAATAAAAGGTAAAATTTTGATCTAGTTATTTCAATTTCTTTTATTACGGACATTGTCCTGCTCAAACACCCATGGCCACAGAACACAATTACTCTCTATCGAGGAAAGAACGCCATCTCCAAACTAAAAAACTGAAACACGCTGCTATACGTTCATACTTCTAGCGCCACAGTGGGCGCCCATATGAAACTTTTTTCGCGGGAATTTCAAACCTTTGTATTCTGTAACTTTAAACTTTTTATTTAAAGCATATTCGATTAATTTTGGCTCTAGCCCTACAGACCTATGGGGTACATTCCCATAGATTTGAGAGGTTGCACCAAAATTACTCGAATATACTTTAGATTAGTATGTAGTATAAAATAAAACTAAATAAGTATAGTTACGTAATTTTATTTTCTGGAAAACAGATTGTTTTATAAACTATGCATTATTATTGATGTTTTTAATGCTTTTGAAGATAATATTTCCGCGCTTGTTACTGATATATAACACATGTTATTGTCAGTGAAAGTCAAAACGTGATCTGAAACAGATACAATTCGCTTCAATATAGTAATAATCTGTACAAATAACGGTCAATAAATTCAAAATGTTTCTAGACTTACCACAGTATTGTCAAAAGTTTTTCAATAAGTAATATTTATTTGCACAACACTTAAATTACTTTCGATGATGGTCACTCATCATGCATAAAATTTTGAAAAAAATCTTAACTGTATATTCAGGATGATATTATGACTGTATTCGCCTACAAACGAAAATTAAGTATTCTGAGCCCACAATAACTCAATTTAAGCAAAAATCAATAATAAATATTAAAATCTAAACCTATTAAATAAATTTGAATAAATTTCAGAAAACATTTTCAATATGAAAGACGTTCACAAACAATTCTCTTTTTTTTTCTTCTTTTAATTCATGGCTTCTTTTGATAGAATTCTGCTAATATTTAATAATTTAACTTTCATGAATTAATAGGTAAATTAATGGTGCAAATCTCAGAGTAATATGTATGCAATTATACTTTAAAGTGAAAACCATAAAAAAGTTTAACACAGAATTAACATTTTTAGTTTCTTCCGATATATTATATGAATTTTTGTATCTAATTTTTAAAATGGCAATCTAAAACAACATGAAGGAAAGAAACAGCGATATTTTTTCGCTTTAATTTTACAAGCTGACGAAATCATGATTGTGTGCAGATCTCATAAAAAGTTACAAAGTTGCATCACCCTGCCCATGATCGTGTGACGTGTGACAAAGCCAGCCTGCCAACCCCAGGTCTTATCCAATCACTTGTATTAAAAAAAAAAACTTAAATTTTATGTCAAAATTTTCTAATAAACTAATAAACACAAATTTTTAGTTATTTTTAAATATTATTAAAATTTTTAGTACCACTACCGATATAATTTTTATTACCTTTGTCAAGTAAAATGACTGCATCTGATATTATTAATCCTATAAGAGACTTGACGCTTAGATTAAAGGAAAAATATATAGGTGATATTGTGGAATGGTTTGATAATAATTCAGAGGCCTTTTCTTTAACCGATAGTATAGAATCAATTAACGTAATAAGCATTGAAAAGCTAATGCAGTTTTTGGAACTAAAGAAGTCGAGTATCGATTTAATTTAAATATATTTTATATATCTTAGATTTATTAGTAAGAAACAAGTATGTTGATCTACTTATACAAGATGACATCTTTTTCTTCTCGCCAGTTATAAGACAGTCTTTAACCTTAACTTTGGTGGTAATCGTTTGTCGGTGGGAATAACTTCGCAGCTGCGTTATATTCCTTTATTGTGACATTATTTTTGTAACCATAAATATGGAATATTAACGTAAAGAAATGATCGGCTTACAATCGAAACTTATTTAATATTTATACAATTCAACGAAACCAAACGTAAAACGTGAAAACGAAGCCAACCACACTTTCAGTTATTGTTATACAACAGCAATGCTGTTGTCTTACATATTTGGCGCTGCTTCCCGTCGTCTGTCTAAGGACTTTATATGCGGTAATAAACAATGTAGATCACGAGATACTTCGTGGCTTTCCTTAAGTCAACTTTAGCGACGCCCATTGAGTACATAATATTATTTACTTTAAATAAGAACACAATAGTTTCACTGACATTGTCACCACACAGCTTACATGGATGATATATATTATTACAGATTTCATAGAAGAGAATTTTATTACCCAAGCTATGGAGAAGTTATGGCAGAAGTAGAAAAACTAAAAAATTATTTCCCAAGAGTTTTAACAAAAGAACAAGTATTAATTATATTAGATAAATGGGTTATTGAAGCTAACATAAAGCATGAATTAAAGCTGGCCTTTAGAGTACGTGTATTATAATGTAATCAATATTTATATATATATAGTGGTCATGTAGCTCCTGAACGACTTGTCGCCATAGTAAGCTTATTAACAAATTCTACATGTATTGACCAAAATGCCACGAATGGAACAATGTAGGTTTGTGTCCATAAATAAATTCATAAAATCTAGTTCGCACTATGATTGAGTTGTTGATAAAGTTTAAATTTACACTGTAAAAAGTCTGGAATAAATTCGGGGTGAAACTCATCGCGCCACCTATAAAATTTCAGAAGAAACAATTGCAAAGCCAGCTGTTATATACTATAATCACGCTGTTAAATAAATAAAGTTTTACCAGATTAAGGATTATGGACATACTCGAAATGATTTTGCTCGTCGGAAATGAAGTTGTAAATCGGATGAGCATAAAATAATGATAAATCGGATTTGATTTTATGTAGTACTGCTACGCTGCGCCTATATTAAGGCGATACCCCGAGCAAAACCTTGCGATAATGCGTTTTTCGGAGACTATAATCTCGATAGTTATGAGAAATAAACTACATCTAAAAGCACATTATTAATGTTCGATATCCTATCATCACATTCCACGTTCTAATTTGTTTTTATGTGCTATTAATACATTTAAAATCTACTTTTAAAAAATGACTAAAATTATTGATTACATGCATCTGTTGCTAAAGGCAATGCTCTAATCATTTGAGCATTACACTAATGGATAGATAATTTGAAAATCTATATTTTTCACGTTTTATTTTAATTATTAAGGATCGTTTTTCTTTTTTAATTAAAATAGTTCCAAAAATTGTGTGAATTCTATTATAAAGCGACGTACGTCTAAAGGGGGAACGAATTTTCAAGGTTATTTGGTCAGGGAAAGGTTACAAATGGGTCGGCTCAACTGGGGAAGAACCCCGTCCATCTTTGTCCTTAGGGGTAACAGTGTGTTTGAATTTTGCATTGCATTAATGACATTTGTAAGTGTTGGTGGTTGATTGATTGATTGCAGATGGGCTACTTACCATGAAGTGGGCTGTGCGCTCTTTCTTGTGACATTTATCACGAAAGAGCGCACAGCCTAGCGTAGAGTATTAGCGTAGAGTACAATAGGCTATATAGGCTATTAAAAAACAACACAAAAATTAATCATTTAAGTACCTCGGTCAGTATAAAACATAACTAGAACTTAGTCTATTGCCTTTAGAAAATATTTTTTATAGAATAACTGATAGAAACCATTTTTCAATTTTGGGTATTATTGCTATTTCCAATCAGATTTTTGACAGCGAAAGCCGAAATTATTTGGATGTAGATGAAATTCGACTCATAGTGACGGGATTCGGTGAACCATTTAATGATAATGAAACTTTAGAACTTCTGCGCGATGCTAATGTTCGAGGAGATGGTAATGTATTCTATGAAGACTTTGTCGATTCTCTGTTTAATATGGCACCTGAATTAAATGAAATAAAGGCAAGTTTTATCTTAAAAGTTTAAATTATTTTATAATTATTTTCAATAATTTTTGTAAATTTCTTCTAATTTTACCTCAGATTTATTTGATTTTAGGCGGAATATTTATTTGAGGAGCCAAATGAAGATCCTTCTATGTAACGTGTGTAACGTATTTTCTATAAATAGTATGGACAAAGAGAGTCTAGTGCTAATGAAACCCACCCATCCCATTCCTTTGGTTAGAAGATTAAACTAAAGAAACAGGAAATACTTAAATAATTTCATTTGTTGTAATAAGTACCTAATAGATGTCATTTTAGTCGTGTCGAGATAATAATATATACAGTTTTCTAAGTATTCGCATTTTTATTTAGGTACAATTAGTTGCGCTTACAACTTTGTACGTTTAGGTTTTTTAAATTATGTGTAGTTAAGTATTACTTCAACAAATAAAATGAAATGGGCTGAAATCCGAATTCATATGCAATTTTCGACGCTCATATTACGCGACGCTCGTATATAAAACGTTTCAAAATAACGTAAACAAGTGAATTTAAAAGTTAAGTTAAAGTAAAATAATCAAAATACACTTATTTAATACGAGAATCTCTTTTAGTCTTCAAAATAATCTTTTTAATGCGGGTACATAGAGATATTTTACGTGGTAGAGCTACGCTGCAGCTAGATATATTATTGTTGAATCTACTCGATCGGGGTGGGACCACGCTCTGACAAAATACCAGCATGAAATAGCAGCTTAATGCTGCTGTGTTTTGTATGGGAAGTGTAGAGAACCGGAGATCCTTTTTACTGGTAGCGACGCATTCTATCTTAGTCCTTAGGGGTGACAACGCATCGCCATTTTGATTCTTAATCAGGAAAAATGTAGATGTCTATGGCCGTATACAGAAAGAAAGCTGGTAGGCGGCGCCGATCTACCAGCGCTAAGTTATACATCCTATTAATAGAGAAAGGAATCGTTTCAAAGAATACCATCATTTATTTGTAAAACAATTGATGATTTGATGAATTTAAAATGTTTTAACGTGGTTTAAATATACACTTGTACAGTTAACAGCAGATCAAGCCTAACACTTTGAGATTTGTACCGACATTATTATTTTATAACTAGCTGTTCCCCGCGACTTTGCCCGCGTGTAACTTGGGGTTTTCATTTTTTAGCGAAGAACCCTAATTATTTTTCTAAAATAAAAGTAGCCTAAGTTACTCCTTATAACATCAGCTATCTGCCAGTGAAAGTCCCGTCAAAATTGGTCCAGTCGTTTCGGAGTTTAGCCGGAACAAACAGACAGACAGACAAAAATTTTAAAAAGTGTATTTTATTATAAGTACTGTTTATACTTTCATATGCATTTAGTAAAACGTTGTAATTTTGATATTACAAACAGACACTTCAATTTTATTTATTTGTATAGATGTATAGATAAGAGCGATTTTAGAAATTATCTAAGTGTTACCCTTGATTGGTGTCAGAAGTGGGATCAAATATGCCGATTTTACCTAAAGACGACACGGAGGGTATCCGTACCCGAAGTCAACGCCACCAGGAGACGGACCAGAGACGATTTTGTGATGCAACGCCGCAAACGTCGGAGGACCAGCTGCTGACCACGGAGGCCGGCCCGTCAGCAGCTCCTGCATCTGCAGCACCTGACTTAGGTGCTCTGATGATGATGCTGAAGGATCAGGCTCGCCGGTTGGAAGAGCAGCTGCAGCGCGGACAGGAGGAACAGGCCCGTTGCTTGGAAAAGCAGCTCAAACGCGATAAGGAAGAGCAGATGCTCCTCATGAAGGACCTTCACGCTACCTTCAGGAAAGAGATAAAGGAGGTGAAGGAGGTTGCTCAACATGACAACCACCTGTCGGAAGCTGAAACCCGAATCGACCAAGTGAACAATCAGGTTGACAACGTGTTAGTTGACGTGAAGCTACAACACCTTCGCTACGTGGATTCAAAGTGCCACCGTTCGACGGGAGTTCTTCCTGGTCGGCCTACAAAATCCAGTTCAAGGCTGTCATGAAAGCGAACGGCTGGAATAAAAGTCAGGCCATGACTGCTCTCACCCTAGGCCTACGCGACCAGGCCTTAACGGTTCTGGAAGCTCTCGGTAAGGAAGTGACTTACGAGCAGCTCCTTGAGGCATTGGAGGCGAGATATGGCGACGCTCACCTGGAACACGTCTTTCGTGCGCAGCTCAAAGATCGCGTGCAACGCAGTAACGAAAACCTGCAGCAGTGGGCCCTTGAGGTGGAGAAGCTGGTTCGAAAAGCATACCAGTCTGTACCCGCGCTCATTGTAGGGAACTTGGTGCAGATATTCATCGACGGCATCTGCGACATTAAAGTGAGAGCTGCTGTGAGGCTCGGGCACTACGAGACGCTTAAGGATGCCTTGACCCATGCACTGGAGGTAGAAGCCGTGCGGCAGGATCATCGTTCCCACCGCGTCAGAGAGGTTGCAGCAGCTACAGTTCGGGACCGCAATAACGGCTACAGCCCTAGGTGCTACGGCTGTGGGGAAAGGGGCCATCTTCAATCCAGCTGCCCTAAGCGAACTGTAGAAAGGGAAGGTGTTCGATCTCGAGAGGGTAGTGCGGCTAATAGCACCGCCCAGCAGCAGCAGGGAAACGAGTAAAAGCCAGGATTGCGGGGCGGGTGCTGGGATGGGAACAGCCTAATCATCAAGGGCGAAGTCAACGGAACCCCGTGTAAACTGACCATAGACACTGGAGCCTCTCGCACGGTTGTCAGTTCCCAACTTATAAGTCGGTTCCTTGGGGACTCCGCATACAACCGAGAATGCATTAATTTGGTGACAGCCACCGGTCAGCGCATACCCATCCGTGGAGAGAAGGAGATGGAGTTGAAGCTAGGCAACATGATCTACCTGCATAATGTCACCGTGGCTGATATAATGGACGACTGCATCCTGGACCTAGACTTTATGAGGAAGAATTGTTGTGAGTTCGACGTTAAGCAACGTGTTTTGAAATGTGGACAAGAGGAACTTTTCGTGGAAGGGGCGTTACCAGGGAATGTGTACATCCTTAAGAAGATTGTTCTTCCGCCGAGATCGGAAACGATTGTGCCAGTTAGACTTCCTCGGAATCCTGGGCAGACTCTTCGTTGTGTACTCGTGGAAAGGGTAGACAATGACCTTCCATGGAAAGTGGCTCGAACCTTGGTCAGAACCGCCGACATCTCAGGAGTACGTTTGCTGAACCTTTGTGATCAGGAACAGATTATAGAAAAAGGCACATTGGTTGGTACTAGTGAGGAAGTGGATTGGTTGCGTCGGTGCCAATATCTATCGACTGGGACCCCCAGCAAGGATGGACAAACGAGAGTGACCACACTTTTGGAAGACTGTCGCAGCGTTCTCTCCCCGATTGAAATGGTCAAGGCGAAGAAGTTGTTACTCCAGTGCGCCAATGTTTTCTCGTCAAACGAAGCTGACATAGGAAAGACTGGCTTAGTTCAACACAAAATAAACACAGGACAAGAATTGCCTATTCGTCAGCGGCCAACAAGATTGCCTGTAGCACGTGAAAAGGAAGTGGAAACCATGATTGAGGGAATGGTGAAGGATGGTGTTATTGAACCTTCATCTAGTCCATGGTGTTCACCTGTGGTGCTGATAAAGAAGAAGGACGGCAGCATGCGATTTTGTGTTGACTACCGCCGTCTGAACGACGTTACGAAGGAGGACAGCTATCCCTTGCCAAGAATTGATGACACTCTGGACATGCTTACAGGCGTAAAGTGGTTTAGTACGCTGGACCTGAATAGTGGCTACTGGCAGGTTGAAATCAACCCTTAGGACAAGGAGAAAACTGCATTCTCCACAGGAAAGGGTCTGTGGCAATTTAAAGTCATGCCGTTTGGATTGTGCAATGCTCCAGCAACGTTTGAAAGGTTGATGGAGCTTGGATTTACCGGGCTAATTGGAGATGCCTGTCTGGTCTACTTGGATGACATCATCATCGTAGGCCGTACGTTTGAGGAACACCTTCAAAACCTGGAACGCATGCTCATGAAGATCCAGAATGCCAACCTCAAGTTGAGTCCGAAGAAGTGCTCACTATTCAAACGGCAAGTTAGCTTTTTGGGGTATGTAGTGTCGGAAGAAGGTATCCGCACGGATCCAGAGAAAATTGCCGCTGTCAAGGATTGGCCGGCTCCAAAAGACAAGACACAGGTTAGAGCATTTTTGGGTTTGTGCTCTTATTATCGGCGATTTGTGAAGAACTTTGTAGATATAACCAAACCTCTGCACAGGCTAACCGAGGAGAAGCGACATTTCTGCTGGGATGGAAGTTGCAATATTGCATTCCAGGAGCTCAAGAACCGTCTGTGCAAAACACCTATTTTAGGGTACCCTGATGCGGGCAAGGAATTTATAGTTGACACAAACGCAAGTGATATAGGATTTGGCGGTGTGTTGTCTCAACGGAATGGTGATCAAGACAACGCATCTGCGTTTTGATTCGCAAACTATTATAAATTAGATGTCCATGGGCCTCAGCATCCACTTACCATCAGGAGGACTGAGTGCTCGTTTGTCACTCGATCCTATAAAAAAAAAACTTCAGCAAGTCGTTGTCAAAGCCGGAAAGGAACTATTGTGTCACAAGACGGGAATTGCTTGCTGTGGTAAAGTCCTTGCAGCATTTTACCAAATATCTTCTGGGGCGGAAGTTCCACTTACGAACTGACCATGCTGCACTGAAATGGCTATTGCAGTTCAAAAATCCGGAGGGACAAGTTGCGAGATGGATTGAACTACTGCAGGAATACGACTTTGTGATCGAACATCGTAGCGGGAAATCTCATGGCAATGCAGATGCGTTGTCAAGAAGACCTTGCCCTGAAGATTGCAAGCATTGTACTAGGCAAGAGGGTAAGGAAGTGGTACCGGTGAGGATACTCAGGACAGATCAGCTCAGCAATGAGTGGAAGGACAGCCTACAACATGCACAGCAGGAAGATTCGGACATTAAGCCGATCCTGGATTGGATGAAGGCCAGTGCTCCTAATAATAATAATAATAATAAATAATAACCCTAAGCAAGCGGAACCGGGCTGTCGTGAGGGCTCTTAACCCAATGCTGGTGACCTATTTGGAAGCCAGCCGGGACCTTTGCGAGACGGACTCAATTCTTTTTGGCGCCGCACTGGCAATTTGCCGTATTATTGGCGCCAAACTTCCCACGGCTGGACGCGCTACTAGACAAAGTAGCGTCATCCCAGCCTGGAGAAGAAGGATTGAGGACCGTATCGCAAAGGCAAGGGTCCTCATCGGCAGACTGATAAGCTTCAGGTCGGGCAATAATAGGCCGAGAATTGTGCGCACCGTCAGGATGGCGTTTGCTGGGACAAATATCAGTTTGTCCCAGCCGGATATAACGCAAAAACTGACGGAGCGCATAGACGACCTGAAGCAGAGAATCGCTGCTTGGGGGAAGCGGATTCGGCGATATACCGAGAGGTCGACACGGTTCAACCAGAATCGTCTCTTCCAGAGTGATCAGAAGAGGCTCTATGAATCATTGGAGCGACCGATGGTACGTGGAACGGGCCCAGCACCGAAACAGGCCGACACTATCGCATTCTGGCGCGGCCTGTGGTCAGAGCCCGTAAACCACAGCGAGGGCCCTTGGACGGAAGTTGTGGCGAGTCAGTGTGCTAATATTACGCCCATGGACCCCGTCATCATAACGCCGGATGACGTAGCTGAGGCGGTCCGTAGGGCCCCGAACTGGAAAAGTCCGGGACTCGACGGACTGCATCACTACTGGCTGAAGGGGTTCGTGGTGTGTCACGCTGTGCTCGCCCGACAGTTTCAAGAGGCTCTCGACCAAAAGTCGCTCCCGAGCCTCTTCACTACTGGGATCACCCATTTGGTTCCTAAAGACCGGGATTCCACAGACCCGAGCAAGTACCGCCCCATAACGTGTCTACCTACCATATACAAGACATTAAATCCATTTTGAGCGCGAGAATCACTCGTCACCTGAACTCAAATCAGGTGATGTCGCGCGCTCAAAATGGATGTCGGGGCGGTGGTCGTGGAACCAAGGAACCACTCCTCATTGACGCGGTCATTGGCAAGGTGGTTAAATGCAACCGTCGGAACCTCTCCGCCGCCTGGATAGACTACAAAAAGGCATTCGACTCGGTGCCTCATACATGGCTTAAGAGGGTCCTCGAGCTGTACAAGGTTGACTGTAGGGTTCGAGACTTCCTCGGGCAGTGTATGGGGCAGTGGAGTACGATCCTTTGTCATCTAGGCCAGCGGATGACGGCTGCGGAGAACCACATAAGGATAAGAAGGGGTATCTTCCAGGGCGATTGTTTGAGTCCAATCTGGTTCCGCCTATCTCTGAACCCTCTCAGTACCTTACTGGAGGGTTCCGGGAGGGGATTTCAGCTTCGGAAAGGAGGTACAAAAGTGACCCACATTTCTATATGGATGATCTCAAGTTATTCGCCTCCAGTCGCTCCCATCTTGTGGAATTGCTAAACATCACTTGTGATTTTAGCAATTCTATTGGAATGGAGCTGGGGACGGATAAGTGTCCGATCCTCCATGTCGAAAGGGGAAGGGTTGCTAACTCTGAGGGCATGGACTTATCTATGCCCATCAGCATAAGAACCTGAAACATACCGATACCTGGGTATGTCACAGAATATCGGTGTCGATGAGGCGGGTATGAAGCAGTCAGTTTGCGATGTGTTTTATGCACGCTTGACAAAAATGCTTAACAGTCTTTTGTCGGGCGTTAATAAGACACACGCTTATAACGGTTGGATCATGCCTGTTCTCATGTATACCTTTGACATACTCAGGTGGACTCAGACCGGACTGAATGCTCTGGACAGAAAAGTCTGCACTATAATGACGTCCCACAGAATGCATCATCCGAGATCGTCGGTAATGAGGCTGTACTTGCCGCGGAAGCATGGTGGGCACGGTTTTTTAAGTGCGCTTACCCTGCATAATCGCGAAGTGTGCAGCCTCCGTAATTATTTTCTGGCGAGAGTGGATGATCCATTCTATAGGGACGTTATTTTTTGTGATAAAGACTTACCCCTCTATCCTTAGCCAACGAGCAATGGCAAGACCCGGCAGTACAGAGCATTTCCGACCGGGAGACCGTATGGAAGGAGAAGGAGCTCCATGGGAGGTTCTACAAGGCTCTACATGAGCCTTTTGTAGATACAGTTGCCTCCCTCCACTGGCTACGTTTTGGTGACCTATTCGGGGAAACCGAGGGTTTTGTCTGTGCAATACAGGATCAGGTTATTAAGACCAACAACTATCGGAGATACATCCTAAGGGATGGCACCGTCGACATTTGTCGAGCTTGTCGCCATCCCGGTGAATCACTTAGGCATGTCATCTCCGGTTGTTCGGAGCTTTCTAACTCTGAGTACTTGCATAGGCACAACCTAGTAGCCAGGATTCTACACCAGGAGCTCGCTCTGAAATACGGTCTCGTGGATCGGAAACTGCCTTATTATAAATACATGCCGGAAGCCGTGCTCGAAAATTACCACGCCAGGCTCTACTGGGACCGGGCCATCATCACAGACAGGACCATTCTTGCGAATAAGCCTGACATTGTGCTGATGGACCGGGCACAGTCAAGGATATTTTTGGTCGACCTTACCAATCCGTATGACGAGAACCTCGTGAAATCCGAAACAGATAAGCGAACAAAATATCTGGACCTCGCTCACGAGGTGATTGACATGTGGGGTGGGCTGCCGGCCGAAATTATACCTGTAGTCGTTTCGGCGAACGGGTTAATCATCTGAGGCGACTGGGACTCCGTGACGGACCGCTCCAAGCTCAAATGCAGAAGGCGGTGCTCCTCGATACCGCCCGCATCGTCCGCCGGTTTCTTTCCCTTTCCCCCTAACCCTCGGCCGTTTGGTCACCCCTGCCGAGGGCTTCCATCTGGTTGGGTTTTATTTATTTATGTATTTTTTATGCATTTATTCTATTCTGTTGATATTTATGTATGTTTATCATTTTCATTTACAATTATATATTTATACAGCCCAACCAGATGAGTAAACTATATAGATGCCCCATAATAATAATCATTTATTGACAGACAACAATTGTGGTTGTTCAGGAGGCCACCTGCGAGATAAATGAACTCTACTGAAGATCCGAGAACGGTTTTACTGGGTCCACTGTCGTGACGATGTCGAGGACTGGTGCCGCAAATGTATAAGTTGTGCAGCTGTAAAGGGACCTCAAATTCGTAGTAGAGGCACATTCAAATTGTATAATGTTGGTGCACCATGGGAGAGGATAGCCATTGACGTTACGGGGCCGTTTCCGGAAAGTGAAAGTGGTAACAAGTATTTCATGGTTGTGATGGATTACTTCACTAAGTGGCCAGAAGTCTTCGCCATTACAAATCAAGAAGCTTCAACTGTTGCAGATAAACTAGTTCATGAAGTCTTCTGTCGTTTTGGAGTACCTTTAGAGATTCACAGCGATCACGGAAGGAATTTTGAGTCTCAAATATTCCAGGAAACTTGTCGAGTTATGGGTGCTCATAAAACACGAACAACTTCTTACCACTCACAATCTGATGGAATGGTAGAACGATTTAATCAGACATTGGAGAGGTACCTAGCAAAAGTTGTGGAAAAACGGCTACGAGACTGGGACAGGCACATACAACCGTTTTTGTTGTCATATCGAAGCGCTGTTCACGAAAGTACATCAGTGACTCCAGCTTTCGCAAACTTTGGGAGAGAATTACAGCTGTCTGCAGACATGATCACCGGAATACCCCCACGCAGTATAACCGATTATGCAAATGACTTGCGGAACAAAATGAATGACATTTATGAGCACGTCAGACAGACGGGCCAGCAAACGTCTGAGAAGATGAAAACACGGTATGACCGCAAAATGAACAACAAGGGGTTTGACGAAGGTTCACTAGTGTGGTTACACAATCCAGTTCGCAGCAAAGGGAAATCTCCTAAGCTTCAAGCTAAATGGGACGGACCGTACCGGATTGTGACAAGGATCAATGACGTAACCTATCGGATACAGAAAGGTGCCAGAGGTACTCCTAAGATCGTCCATGTAGATCGACTGGCGCGTTATTATGGGGCCAATAATGCTCGGGACAAGCATGTCTTAGGAGGGGGCAGTGTTGCGCGCCACTATAAATGTCTTGTACATGGCAACACTAGTTACACTAGCGCCCTCTAGTGTCGAGTAGCAGAACTAGGAGAGTCAAGATCCTTTCAGAAATTTCGGGTCCGATATGTACTCGAATATTGTAGATGTCGCTACAATAGAAGGTTCTGGAAACTATCTGAGGCCCTATATAAGGCCGGTATAGACCACGACCAAGTCAGTATTGAATTGGCGATACAAGAGAATACTTCGAAGCGAAACAACTGCGAACTTAAGTGATCAGTAGTACAATTGTGTTTTATTATTAGTGT